ATCCTCAATAAAGACTCAAGATGCAGATGCGTTGTCACCCGTGAGAACTAAGATGGAATGCCTGTTTGCCAGTAAAAAGGGTCTCCGGTTCTCTACACTTACCATACGGAACACAGCAGCGTTAAGCTGCTATTTTACGCTGGTTTTCTGTGAGAGCGTGGTCCTTCCTCGGGCGAGCCGACCCATTCGCACTACAACTATACTACTAATATAGCTGCAGCATGGCTCTATCACGTAAAATATGTTGGCGTAATTTACAATTTACACCATTGTCGGTGGGCGTGCAAGACCGCCTAAGTGCAGTTTTAAACACCGTGTACCTGTGTTTTCACGATTTTACAGGAAGAAGAAAAAAGTTAATGTTTTGGGCGATCTAATATATTTTACCGACTGAATTTATTTGGGGGATGAGTCGATCGCGTCCGTAGGCTTCGAACACCTAACCCTAGACGGGCGGGTCTACACCACCCGGGTGGTGCTAAATAAGGGACAAAGCTGAAAGAACAGACTTGGCTTGAAGAATCTCCGGGAGGAAAACCGGTGACTAGGTTTGCCACCCGGAGGGTGAGGTTGAGGTTCTGTCTCCCGGAAGGGAAGTGTATTTTAAATTTAATTTTTTTTTTTTAAAAAGTGGATTTTGGAAGCCCGTATGGCTACGCTGAATGTATGTAGAGCAATGAATGATAAGATGGATAAAGTATGCGATATGATGTATGATGGAGGAATAGATGTGTTTTGTGTAAATGAGACAAAACGGAAGGGAAAGGATGCCACTATACATGGCATGTACGAATGTATACTGGTCTGGTGTAGACGAGACCGAGTGGGCATGCCAGGGAGTCGGTATCATCCTTTTATGGGTCATTGTATGAAAGAGAATGAATGTGTAAGACCAAGACTGCTATGGATACGAATGAAAATGGGCTTAAAAAGTTGTTTATCTCTATACGGGTCTACGCCCCAGATATGTCTTTGCCCACTTATATCTGAGAACAGTTTTGGGAGGTAGTTAGGATGGTGCTAATGAAATGCAAGGGTAATGAAAATATTGTTATATTAGGAGAGTTTAATGGAAGGGTTGGCGTGAGCATCTTCATGCTTGGCTATCTATGAAAGGATATTGGGAACGTTATATGATGAAAGTATAAATGAGAATGGTGAAAGCCTCGTCACCGTGTGTATTTTTATAATATTTTTGACGAACACTTTCTTTCGTCGTCAAAAAATTCACATGTATACATGAGAAAAAGGTGATCATAAAAGCATGATAGATTTCATAATTGTAAGTGTAATAATGAGGAGCGCAGCAGTAGATACATGGGTTTGCCGGGGTTCCAACGTAGGGACGTATCATTACCTGGTATTATGCCGAATTAATGGTCTATTCAGACGTTGGTGGCATCGGAATTCTGTGTCTACCATTGCATTACAGCCTATAAGAACAGACAGGTTACAAGATGGAGGTGTAAAAGAGAAGTTCATTTGTTGACTGAGAGAAAATAAAAGTGGTATGTATGAATTGTGTATAAATGATTTAGACTTGGAAACTGTTTGGTATAATGTCAAGAAAGGTTTGGTGGATGCAGCTACCGAAGTATGTGGTATAAGTAAGAGAACTAATGAAAAGAAAACTAACACTTTATGGTGGGATCATGTGGTACGGATAAAAGTTGAAGCAAAGAAAAGAGCACTACTAGATTTACTAGCAACCAAGGCTAGTTCTTCTAGCGGTGTGAATGATGATGTTGAAAGAAAAAAGGCAGTCTTTAGACATCTAAATAAGAGAGTAAAAGGACTAGTTGAAAATGAGTTGGAATCGTCAAATAATTGAAAGAATTACGCGTGGCTACATCCCTCATGCATAAAAATATGGGTAAAATAAATTCAAAACAAAATAAACATACTTATATGCTAGTTATTTACGTTAAAATAATTATTTACGCGAGCATGCAATTTTCTTCTTGTGGATTCTCCTTTTATTTGGTAGATATCTACTGCCAACTTTCGGCATGTTACTGCTACGCGGTATTATTTTGATGCCAATTTTTTTCTTCTTGGCTTCTTTCTTTTGGTTACTTACTGTTTCTTACTGGCTGATTCAAATAGAGTTAGATTCAATACAAGCAAATCAGCTTAAAGGATCTTTTGCCACGATATTTCTATTTTGCGACTTTTACAGTTACGCGGTTTTTACAAACTGCTATTCCGCAGTATTGCATGCTCACCGATACATTTCTTTCAAATATCGTTTTTTAAATTTATAAATATCGCAATTTAGTGGCGACGTTAGAGTACCCACTTCCACATATTGTCCAATGGGTATCCATCGCCTCCCATGGCCCCACCAACCTTGCGATTTTACGGGCCGACTCATGACAGATGCACGCGGTACTTGCTCAGGACTCTTTCCTGCGTGCACTTTCTTGACTCTCTGCAAATTATTTAATCTACTCCTTGTCCCAGTTTGTCATTCTCCCCCTTGTGGAGCTGACGGCACTATTACGCTTACGTCGTCAGGCCTTTCCGCCAGTATTCTGTCTTGCCTTATTCTTCGATCATGCCACCTGTGCGCAAACTCGCGCAACAGCCCGTAGTTTACCCTTTAACAGTGGTAGAGCCACGCGGCAGTTTTTGCTGTTGCACGGATGGGCCGGCTCGAACCGGGGTGGTACCACGACCTCACAGAATACCAGCGTGAAGTAGAGGTTTACCTCTGCGTTTCGCTTGGTGAGTGCAGGTGGCCGGAGGCCCTTTTTGCTGGAAGTGAGGCATTCCATCTTAGTCCTCACGGGTGACAACGCCTCTGCATTTTGATTCGCAAACGAGGATAGATGTAGATGTCTATGGGCCGCAGCAACCACTTACCATCGGGTGGACTGTGTGCATGTTTGTCACACTTATCCTATAAAAAAAAAACAGTTCACCCGCTCGCTGACGAGATACGAGGAGTAAATCGGTCCTTGAACCGTACAAACTAATCCATCCATCATTTTTGCTCTTAGATCGTCATACAGAGGGCGATCCCATAGAACATGGTGAACGTCCTCCTCTATCGCACCACACTCACACATACTTGTTTCACACAGTGGCATTTCATTCAGTCTCTTCCGAAAGCATCCATGTCCGGTGAGAATCTGAGAGGTTTGATAGTCCGGTGAGACCCAGGTTTACCCGAGTCGCAACGCCACTTCCAGGAAGGACCGATAGAGCTCGCGTCCTTTTGATTCATTCATCCATCGATCCTGCCAAACAACGATCACCTCAGTCCAAATTTCGCGCTTCCGTCTGCTCAACTCCTCATTGGGCGCGGTCAAATGTGCTATACCCATCCTACCAGCACGGATGACCTCAAGGTCAGAAGTGAGAACGCCAGCCAGCACTGGTAAGACCGCCGTACTGGTGGATCGATACGCATTAGTCAGAAATATAAAAGCTGATCGCTGCGATCTCAGCAGTTCGCTGCGAACTGTGTACATGTTCGCACGCTCGTACCAGCACTCCGCCGCGTACGTGAGCGTGGATACAAACACTCCTCTATATATTATTTTTAGGCTCGGGTATCGAATACCCCATGATGATGTCGATACGCGAGTCATCTTGGCTAATCCCTTGGTCGCTCTTTCAGAAATATCGGACGCATGTTGCACAAACGATAGTCCTGAGTTCAATACCACACCTAATACCTTAGCATTAGTTACAGTCTTTGTAGATTCTCCACCAAGTCTGATAACGGGGGAGCGCTGAAGTTTCCCTCTTATAGTCATGGTGGTCGACTTTGATGAGGAAAACTCCAGTCGATTCCTTAGCCCCCACTCCCATACAAGGTCCAAAGTGACTCTGGCCCTGGATTCGATACCCGCTCTAGTATCAGATTCAATCAAGATTGTAACATCATCAGCATAGGCAGTCATAGCTAGAGGGAGTCGGAGTCGGTCGTCCATCAATACGTTCCACAGTCTAGTCCCAGCACAGAGCCTTGAGGACATCCCATGTTCGACGTCTTCCACTCCAGCCGGTCCCCGATGTAGAGGCCCACATGTCTGGAGGTGAAGTAGTCTACCAGCATTTTGTAAATGTTTGGTGGACAACCACCTCGTTTCGCTTTGACCATCATCATCGGCCACCAGGCATTGTCGAAGGCGCCGGAGATATCCAGAAAGATTATCTGCATGTAGCATGCTCGAGAATACCTAGCTGTGCTAAGCAAGGCACGCAGCGCTGTTACCGTAGATCGCCCGGGAGAGTGACCGTGCTGGTGCTCAGATATCCCGCGACTAATCGCAGGAGGACATCTTAACACTACGCGTTCCAATACTTTACCCAAAACAGGGCGGAGCGTTATCGGACGGTATGCTTTGGCGTCGGTGAGCGGCTTGTCATTACCCTTGGGAATGACAATCAACCTTCCGTCCTTCCATACCTTGGGGAATACCCCCTCCACCACGCACTTGGCGTACACCGAATGAAATTCCCTCGGTGCTGCCAACCAAACATTAGTCACAATTCTCACACTCACTCCATCGAGTCCCAGAGCTGTGTTAGGCAAGGCCTTGACTATTCCTTCCATATCCCCAACCGCAGGCGGAAACGCAGCTCTACTCGTCGGCATGAAAGCCGCCAGTAGGTGGACCTGCTGATAGTAAGGCATGTCGTGATCAGGCCTTACATCCGGACAGAGCGCAGTCATTAGGCTGACCATCGCTGCCTCGATATTGTCCGGGTGCCCACCCGCAAAGGCGTTCCCATTGATCACGTTTGCAGGCGGTCGTACCCTCCCGCTGGCCACTCTGTACGCCATACCCCATGGGTCCTCGTTACCAGAGTTGGCAACCCTCACATGATGCGACTGCTGCGCCTCCACCATCATCTTCCTGTACTCCCTCCTCGCCCGCACGCTGTGGGAGGCTATCCTGGGTATCTCCTCTGACCTACTTCCTAGACGCCTTTTACTCTGCCATGCATGCCTGAGTTTACATTGTAACCTTCTAGTCTTATAGAGTTCAGTAGTCCACCATTCGTACCCCCCGACCCCCTGGGGCGACGTTACCCTTGGCCCTCCTCCGCGGAGTGGATGATGACCCCTGAGAACTCCTCCGCCAGGAGAGCTGCGGGACATTTTCCACATGCAGCCATCCCAATCGCAGTTTGATTATAGCCCGGAACCTGTCCCAATCCACCCCTCGGTCGCGAAAACGAGGGGGCTCTTTAACGGGTGCAGCGCACGTGGTCGGCCTGTTGATCTTGGCCGTGAAAGTAATGAGGTTGTGATCGCTGGCGCAGATCCCCTCGCGCACCCGACAATCGGCAAGATAAACGTCCCCAGTGGTTAGGGTCAAATCCACATTGGACTTCCCACCAGGCCCAGAGAAGGTGTAGGGCTTGTCAGGCATTTTAGCCAAAGTAAGGGCATGTGAAATGATGAATGCGTCCATCTGCTGCCTTCGATATTCAACTGTTTGCCCTCTTCCCACGTAATGTCGGCGATCACAATGCCAGAGTGGCATTTGCGTCGAGGCCCACGATAACCCTTCTGCCATTTAAACAGCTCAGGGCGACCTCTAAGTGGTGCAGGTGATCATCGATAGTGTCGCTTAATTTAAAATACGCTGACACCACATAGAGGTCCCATCGGTATACGTGGCACACCACACAAATTTCATTACTGAGGTGGCTCAGCACAGCTGCTCCAATAGTTGGGTCGGCAAGATAGACGCCCGACCACAGATGACCACCCACCTGAACGATCCCCGCAGCCTGGGAGTACTGTTCTTGTACAAAAACAATGTCTAGGTGCAGTTCACGCGCCAGGATAGGCAACTCAGCCGCGGCGAGCTCCCCCGACCCAGGTTAATCTGACCAAATCTTAGTGCTTCTTTTGTTTCTGTGGGGCTGCCCTTACCGGCAATTCTGTGTGGTGACCACGGAGCGTTGCTCTGCGTATATCCTTGCTGGGCAGTTCCTCGCCATGATCACGTGCGAGCCAGAGTCAGCTCTTCCAAAGCGCATGCCCGTGGCGCACTTTTTGTCCGTTGACTTGCATGCGCCACGTTCGTGTCCAGCCTCTTCACATTTTCCGCAAACCACCGCCTTCGTTCGGCAGTACGATGCCGGATGCCCATATTGCTGAAACCTCTGGCAGCACGTGACATCCACGTAATCGCACGGCTCCACCACGTCCCAGCCGACGTATAGCCGGTTGTACCCAATCAGGACGTCCCTCAAGGCGGGCGAACATTGCAGTATGACTGTAGTCCTTCTGCTACCTCTCCACGATTTTTAAAGGCGATTTTGCAGCTTTCCTTTAACTTTTCTTCGGTCCAGGTACAAGCAACCAAGTTCTGTTCATAAAGGCCGCTCAGTACGTCCTCATTCTTTAGGTCCTCTTCAAAACCCCTAAGAGCAACCAGGGGTTGGCGCTGCCTAGGCTCAGATACTCTTAATGATAGAGAAGCCGCTGTCTTAAGCTTCTCCGCAGCTTCCTGGGACGTGGTCTGGACCACGATACCTGCATTTCCTACCTTCCTTAACCTATCTATCTGTAGGCCGCTAGTTTTCGGATTCACCGCCTTCTTCAGCTCCATTTCCGTATCCTCCGATGTTTTAATGGGTCCTTCCATTTCAGCTGGCTAGAAGGCAACTACTGGACCTTTGCTTACTGGCATTAGTACCTGGTCTGCCCCCTGCTTACTGGCATTAGTAGCTGGTCTTCCTCCTGTCCAATGGATACCGTAAGAGGTGACAGAGGGTTACTGAAACAGCTGCTGGACAGTAGTTTATTTCTGGTAAGAACTTAATATAATAAAACCTGTGTTTGCCGACACACTTGTCAAGCGTTACAACTTTGAAAATATTCCCCCTACAAGGCAATCTATGGGAGAGGTATGTGTTCAAAAATGCTTTTTTTAGGCCATAACAATGATGATAATGATTTCCATGACTCTAACAGCCATCTTATATTTTAAGCAGGAATGGGAACACCAGCGTAAAACCACAGATTAATGAAAAAACATTCATCGAGAATAGATGTACTCATAGATATCTAAGAGCCACAACACACAACGCACGCACGCATGCCGCAAACATGCATGCACGCTCGCACACGCACACGCACACGCACACGCACACGCATACGCACACGCATACGCACCCGCATACGCACACGCACCCGCACGCACACACACACAGAGAGAGAGAGAGAGAGACAGAGAGAGAGACACAGACACACATTAATACGGTATATATGGTACTTGACGAATCGCTTATTTACATAACACAGTATTATTAAAGCACTAGTACCTATTATAAACAATCTGTGTTAAATTTTGATATTGTAAAATTGTATGGAAAAATACCGACATCCTGAAATACAGGATTGATCCTACTTTAGATATAAGTGCAACAAATTGCTTGTAAAGGTTTATAAGTTTTAATAATGATGATGATTATAATAATTATTATTCATCAATTCTTTCAATAAACATAACAGTTTGAACTTAATTCAACTAGACGGTAATAAAACTCTTACCTCCATGCAAACATTTATTTAATACCGCTGATCAAACGAGGCTGTATGCAGAGTCGTTAATTAGCGGATTACCGGCGCAAGTATTCGCCATTAAAACGATTGATATCAGTGTTTGTATTCGTTTCATATAGCGTTAACCGTTAAGGTTCATATATTAAATCAACAAAGTGAATGAAATTGACGTTTTATACACTCTTGTTACCTTTTTTATTGTTTCCGGCCAAAAAGAAAATAGTGCCTTCATTGGATCATTTTTATGAGGAACGTCCTACAGGTTTCTTGTCTCGTATTAATCATGGTAGAGCCATGCTGCAGCTTTATTATGGATTTAGCACTAGTGCGTCGGTTTGACCGAGGAAGGACCACGCTCTCTTAAAATATCATCGTAAAATAGCGGTTTAAAACTGCTGTGTTTCGTATGGTGACATATTTTACGGGAAATGAAGCATTCCATTTTAATTCTCATGTGTGACAATGCAAGATGTCTGTTGGCCACAGCATGCACTTACCATCAGTTGGACTATATTAATATGTTCGTTTGTCACACTTATCATATAAAAAATATTCGCAAACTGACTCATAGAAATATATTGAGTTCTGTCTATTGACCTGAATACTGAAATCTTGAATATTTGCAAAAGCAAACCACAAGCAAATTCATATCACAAGAACATGTAAATTATTAACTTGTAATTATATAGCATTTAAGGAATTCCATCTTAGCCTTCAGGGGTGATAACTCATTTTGATTCTTAATTGAGGATAGATATAGGTGTCTATGGGCCACAGCAACTACTTAACGTAATGTGGACTGTGTGCCACTTTCCATCAGGTCCGATTGTCACCCTAATAGAAATATATACCTGTTATAGAAATGCGTTCTATTTTTTTTTCTAATCTTAATTTCGTTAGTAGCAAAGACCAGAAAAAAAAACAAATTAAGAATTATACCCAATATTTTTTTCAAATTTCACCTTTGGTGGGAATTTGATTGTTTTCCAAATGGAGAAACTCGAAGTTCGTGCGGTTATTAAATATTTCTCTTTGAAAAATTTTTCAACAAAAATTGTTTTGAAGAACTGCAGTCTACTTTGGCAGACAATGCTCCTTCGTATTCAACAGTGCATATTGGTAGATTGAATTTAAACACGGCAGAACCTCCTGCATTGACTACACTCACTCAGGTCAACCAATAACGGAAGCGACGCAAGTAAAAGTGAAAAAATCTAATAAATTGTTAATGTATACTGATGTGTGACAATCCGTTATTTAGCTGAGATTCTAAAGCTTTCGTTTGGGATAATTGACTTTATTTTAACTCATACTTTAAATTCATAAATATGGCCGCGCGGTTGGTTCCTCAAATGTTAACAGACGCCGAAAATAAAGCAAGATTTGACAAAGATAAATTTATCAATAATTGAAGAAGATCCAGATTCTTTTTGCGTTTGTTTCGTAATCGTAGATGTTAGCTGGGTACACCATTTTTACCCGGAGACGAAAATCAAAAGACAGTTGTGGAAAACACAGTCTTCCCCGCCAGCCAAGAGATCTTCTGGGGTGCAGCAGGTATAATTATGATCGAATATTAAAGTAAAGGAGAGACAGTAGCTGGAGATTATAACTCATCATTCATCAAAAAACTACACGAAGAACTAATTAACAAGAGTCAATGAAAATTGCGTGCTGGAGTGATTTTTTTATCATGATAATGCCTCTGCCCATCGATCTGCTCTTGCAAGCGCTGCCATCCAAACTGCTGGGTTTCAGTTGTTGCAGCCCCCACCATATTCCCGGACCTAGCTTCGAGGGATTCTCACTTTTTTGCTAACCTAAAAAGGACTTGCGTGGTATAAAATTCGACGGCGATGATGAGATGATGTAGTGGCCTTTTTCAAGCCCCAGCGTCAAGCTATTTTTTCCAAGGCAATTAACCAACTTGCAAGATGCGACTCTAGGTGTATTATTAAAAAGTATTACATTGAAAAATAAATACAATTTACATATACTTATCCTAGCTTCATTGCGTTTCCAAAAACTTAATGATCAACTAGTATTACGAGGATCTTAGCAATTTTCTATATAATGGATTTCCGTAAAGTAACGCCTGATTCTTTTAGTAAGGTACGTTGTTACCTTTGTTGTATTGTAAGTATATGTTGCAAAATTTTTCAAGCTTTCAGCACTTAAAATCGACGACTTCGATAGCGAGCTCTCTTATATCGAGGAGCTGTCGAAGCGGATAATCAATCACAGTTTGCAGCGCTTTGTGCGGTCGATGCCCAATAGTTACCTAGCATGGTGCTTAACAGTACTTCGAATATCAACACTTTCGATGAAATTCACTCCATTTAAAAAAAAGAAATATCAGAGATACTATGTTATGAAATTTTTTTATAATGCTAATATCATTTTAAGTTCATAACTGTTCCTCGGTTTATATTTGCCTTCTTCTCGACTCAACGCAGACTACAAGGCAATCCCTGGCACTTGCTCCGGCTCATCGTTCTCACCGACATCACTTGCAAGTGCATAGTATGGCATACATTACACACTGGCATATCATTCGCACCGGCGTTACTTGCCCTAACGCACACAGCAGGCATTCCCCACCGGCATTAAGAACGCACCGGCAATCGGACTGTACTATCGACCTCCGGTCTAAGCTGGAGGGTGATGTAGCGGCGCTGTCGTTGCGCCACAAGCGAAACACATCGAAGCCTAAATCGCGCTATCAAAATTTCCGAAGTAAAAGCAGTATATATAGAATAGCTCCGAACTACCACTCGGAGTCTGTTAATGGGGAACCTCATACTCCACTATTACATTGATGACCCCGACGTGATGCAGATAGCATATATAAAGTTAAATTATATACCACACTTCTGGTAAATGAGAAGATTGAAACTAAAACGGTAGTGAACAGCAATGGCACCAGCCCTGCCGTCTGATCCCAAGAATTTAGTCGTAGGGCTACCTCACCACTCAAACTTATCCCCAATTGCCAATTCT